TTCTAAGGCCCTCCATAGGCCTAACTCGGGAACTGTGGCACTCCCTGGGCTTGACGTGGGAACAGGAGCCCTCCCCGGACTTATATAAGCTTCATGCAGCAAGTTGGACTTTTAATTTTTTATCTTCTCTAGATCACTGATCCGTTTTTCTTTTTCTGTGGTTTTATTTTCAGACTTACATGTTACTTTCAAGTTCTTTTTTAATATATATATATATATATATTTTATTAAAACTGCTTACATTCTGGTCACTAGCATGTTCATACTCCTTTTTAAATTCTTCTAATGTCATTTCAGTTTCATTTCTCTTCAATACATTTTTTGGTTCTCTTTGACGTGTTTGCTGTAATGACACTTCCCTGTACACACAGTGCAGTGGTCGTTTTTCATGACTGAACACTTTGAGAGATCATTCACCCACCAACAGCCTCATTCATGACAGTTTTCCTGACAGACGGAGCAGCAGGTTGCATTTCTGTTCCTCCATGACACATTTTCAGTGGGGACTTTTTCTTTAAAAAACACTTTCAACTGTAAACACAAAATTATTGTATTTCTGAATCTTGTCTCTGTTCTGTTTGAGGGCTTCCTGAATCTGAGTTAGTTATTCCGTTTTTTCCTCAATCTCAGAGATTCACTCCTTCAGATTAGAGACACAAGCCTTAAGTCGTCTTCGCTCATTCAGCACATTTATTGTCATCTGAAGACTTTTTCTGTTCCTTTCTTTCAGGAGTTTGAAGAACTCATTCATGTTTTTCTCACCCATTTGAGATTTTGACCCCAATAAGTTGACTAATGTATTTTACAATGTGACAATAAAAAACTAATTACTTAACATGCACGGATCTTTCCAGTTTAGTTTGACACAAATTAAAGATTACAAGATGTAAATCTTAATTTAAGGTCCGACAGTAAGTTGAAACAACAGCAAACTCTCAGTGCTCCTCCATTCTTCATTCTCTTTATGTCCTGCCCTCAAAACAGGTTGAACAGGTTATAGCTTAACCCATACAAAGTAGAACAAAATAAACATGAAAATCATTGTAAGTATATTAAATACATAAGTATACTAAAAACTAAATTGATTGGCTGAGCTGCACTAACAAATATACAGTACCCAATTAAATTTATATATGTATTAAAATGTACTTACAGTAATCTGAAAAGATTGACCAAACACTTTTTCTGTGACCAGACAGAGTGCAGAGTGACAGAAGAGACTGACTGAATTATGTCTGTCAGTATTTCCCCAATATGCTGACTAATGTCTTTCATCTTGTCATTCATAGGTTTATTCTGAATTTTTTAAAGATTTTTTCAATGTGTTGTTGTCCAGAATTCAAGACTACCAGCAGACACAAGGTCAGAGGATCTCAAAGTAAATGGACACCACACCAATGAAGAGGGATATTCCTAATATGTTTCCATAGGTCCTTTATTAGCACATCTGAAATTTTCTTCCAATGTTTTACAAACAACCAAACAAACAAACCCTTAACCTTAATTCCTTAATGATATAAATAATTATTATAATTATTATTAGTGTTAGTTATATTGTAGTAGTAAAATGGTTGTTTTGTTTGTTTTTATAAATGACCAAAGCTCAAGGAGAAAATCGAAAGACTATGACAGTGTTCCTGTGGCTCAGTGGTAGCGCATTGTGTTAGTAGCACAAAAGGTTGTGAGTTCAATTCCCAAGGAACACACATACTGGTAAAAAATGTATAGCCTGAATGCACTGTAAGTCGCTTTGGATAAAAGTGTCTGCTAAATGCATAAATTATAATTATTAATTAATTATAAATTAAGACTGGATTTAAAAACAGCAAGTGTTTGGGTCTGCCTAACATATAGAGGCAAATTATTCCAAAGTTGTGGGGCTGCAACAGCAAAAGCCGTAGGGGTGACCGGGCTTTTGCTGTTGCAGCCCCAAAACAATTTTTCAGCCTTGTTCGAGGTACAACCAAGAGTAAACGGTCAGCTGACCTAAGTGCTCTCGATGGATCATGCGTTTGTATTAAATCAGAAAGGTAACTTGGTGCCAGTACACTTAATGACTTATAAACTACAACTAAAACCTTAAAATCAATTTTAAACTAACAGGAAGCCAATGAAGAGAGGCCAACATGGGTGTAATTTGTTCGCGCTTGTGCGTCCCTGTTAACAGACGAGCAGCAGCATTGTGCACCATCTGTAAACATTTGAGGGAGACCTGATTTAAGCCCCGTTCACACCAAGAATGATAACTATAAAGATAACAATAAAGATAACGATATTAGCGTCCGCATCAGCGAACAATATCGTCTGTTTATTCTAAGTGCACGCTCGTCTGCCGCTTTAAATTGTCGTGCTCGTTACAGCAGCATGGATTCTGATTGGATGTCAATTTTTTTTTATCTTTCATCAGCTGGAGGAAAATCATTTTGAAAGTGATTCCAACGATATCGTTTATCTGTGCCTTTATCGTTATACTTGTGGTGTGGACTCTGCTATTCTTTATTATTGAGAACTACATTTAGAACTATATCTTTATTGTTATCTTTATAGTTATCGTCCTTGGTGTGAACGGGCCTTAATACCTACATAGAGGCCATTACAATAGTCAAGACAGGTCAAGATAAAAGCATGTATGACCCTTTCAAAATCATTAGAAGACAAAAAAGTCTTGACTTTTGATAACTGCCTCAACTTTTTCTTCATTGAACTTTAAAAAAGTTGAAGCCATCCAGGCCCTAATCTCCTCAAGACTAATGCCGAGTTCACACTGCACGATTTTAGCCCGATTTTTCACTCGCCGACAGGTTTTGTGAAATCG